GATAAAATCCTTGTGCATCCTTATACAGAAATATAGAGAGAAAGCGACGGCAGCCCTCTTCTTTTGTAGACAGAGATCAAGATATAGGCAGCCGCGCAAATGGATCACTTACTGACAACACACATCGCCATTAGAAGAACATATTTCGCTCCAAGCAAGCACTTTTCGAATTTCTCGCAGCACATCATCTCCGTTCGTTGAGGGTGTAAAGGCGACCGCAGTGGCTACCATGATGACCGCATCACAGAAAGCACATATTTAGTGAGTGAAGTTGTTCATATCCATCTATCAAATTGTTTGTATCCTTCCTCCACAGGCCTTGGTGATGGCGCTAAAATTGTTTTTTCTTTTGACGTCTGCGTTAGAGGTTGTCGCGCCGTCCTGCCCTGCCGAGCGCCCGATGCATCGGTGAATCGCTCGGACTGGCGGTCGAGACGGCGTGATGATGACCGAAGTCTCACGCGCGCTCGCAAGCTCGGCACCCTCTGCCACGCGGGCATGTTAGGTCTTGCGGCCACGGTGTCTACGCCAGGCACCTCGGGTTGTTACTGCCTCCGCAGTACACAAGAGGGTTGCTAGCCCAGCGCCGAGCTCCCTCGGACACTGGGCACACGGTCCAACCACGGCCTACGTAAATTATCCCCAGCGCTAGGAATAACCACGATGTAAATGATGTTATCGACATCCTACGTATTATCAACACACATATAAAATACACATTTTATGATAAATTATGTTCAATATGAAATGGATGATTAAATACGATTAAATAGAAAGGGCACTATGGAAAATACTGTGAGAGATACTATTAGAGAATACTATAAGAAAAAGGCAAGGAATTATATGTATACACGAATATAACCGCAGCATAACCTCCGGTCTGGGTACGATCCGTTCCCATCCTCATCCGGGTCCCATCCAAGCCTTCCCACCTACTTTTCGGCTATGCTGCTTCCAGGTCCTTGATTGCTGTGGACCATCCTTCCAGTTGTTTCCATTCAGCTTCATACCATGCAGCTTGGCACCACTTAGAGATGGCATAGATGTGGCGCTATGAGCCCATCGGGGGCTACGTCGATGTTATTGACGTTGAAAGGCACAGAAGTTGTCGAAAGCAGGTGGCTACGGCGTTTACACGATGGCGAATGAATGATGCAATCGCCGATAGCGGCTAGAGTCCGCCGCCACGTGGCAAACTCTAGCTCTCTGCAGCGCACGGTGCCTTTCCGGCGGGACTACGGACGCGCCACGGCCAGGCCGTCCTTTAGGTCGTCCCAACGGCACGACAGAGCTCCTCAAGCATTGTTTTTTTGAATATGTGGATCTTGAGCAACCCATCATAGCCCTCTCCATGAGGCCCTTGTGTCGATCGTTCAGTGGAAGCGGTTTATTGAGCCAAAGGCATGGTATAACACTTTCGAGCGCTTATATACGTTAGTAAACATTGCAGATGCATTCACAGATGGCCAAATAAGAACAGTACATGGACAGAACGTGACAGGATAGGGACGAAAGGAATGCTACCGAATGAGTAAATGATACAGTAAACAAACGATAAGAGATGGGAAAATTGGGGAAGTCGTGGTCGACCACGACAGTCCTTGACTTATTCGGTGTAACTCTTAATCACGTGCATTTCGTGCTAAAGCGGCAGGTAATAGAAGTTTTTCAACCAGATGCCTTTGAATACAGAGACAGCACTTGTGCACCTAGTTAGACTTGGATTATTGTGGTTGTTCCTTATCTTTCCCAAAAGAGCTCCTTTTCTCAAAGGTATAAACAGCAACCTAAATTGAACAATGAAAATGCAACATCACGTGTACGACTAGCGACTAGGGTGGTAATTGGTTCTAGGACTATGTTGACAAATTTACCACCACGGAACACGACAGGTAAATACCAGTTGGTGTGCTTGAGCTGCGGTAGGTGAAGACTGCTAAAGCTGTGGCTGATAGCGGCGGCTTATGTCGGCCGGCGGAGAAGCTCTGAGGAGGCTTCTTCCTCTATCTTTTATAGCGGAAAAGGTCATACCTCAGGCGGGTAGGCCACTGCAATGCCACTCAATTAATTGCCGTATCGGCCTACCTTTCCGTCTGATAGCAGATCAGCATGACCCACCGTGCTTAGGTGGCGGCTCGCTTATAAAAGGGGCTTCTCCTGGCATTTCTGTTCCACACATGACTATTGTTGAGAAAACCATAAAATTGAAATTTAGAGGTTATAGTCAAGCACGCTTGTTATCGAATTAAATTAATTAGGTAGTTTTATCATTGTATTCATTATCTTACCTTTCTTCCATGAACGAACCTCGTCTGTTCTTCCCAGCATTCCTTCAGCTTTACAATGCTCAAGTGAGATTCTTTTCTCCATCATAAAATACTCGTCGACCTAGTTGGTAGACTGGTTGCTTTTGACATTGAGGTAGATCTTGAGCTTATTATTCTAGTTCTTGCTTTTATTATCGCTGATTTTCGCCTTGTCCGTCTTCGTGTGTGCGACTTGCTCGTCGTCGGCGACACTGCACTCGCCGTCATCCCTCACAAGTGGAAGTTGTATTGCGGGGAGAATTAGGCAAGATAATCACGATTAAATTTCAGGTATCCGATGGAGTTACGAAGAAAAAGAGCTGAATATTGATTGATGTTGTAATACGCTTCTAAAGATTTTAGGTTCGATGGATTCACCAAAATATGACATGAAATTGTAAGTTTTCTAGCAAAAAATTGTCTTAGTGCCACTTACTATTACTTCAGGTTTCTATAGGGCTAAAATCTAGAAGCTGAAAAGCTCCTTGTCAAGGAGAGTAGAGGACCAGACCGAATAGGAAGGGAATGATGTCGCTCATGATCCAATTGACTCATGCGTATGGTCTCTGTTTAGAAGAGGACCTGTCGGATTTGCAGCCGCAGATTCCTCGAAGTCAAGGCTCAAGAACGGTTGGAGGACTCCTGCGTAAAACATGCGAAGAGTTCCAGGCAAACTTTGGCCTTATCCACGCTCTTAGGGGATATTTTGAAATGTGAATGTAGCATGTTGCTTCAAATAATGTTATCAAACGTGCATATGGATTTCATTGCCATTGTCATCTATGACGAGAAGCCTTGAATACATTGCCATAATTGGCGCCAATGATTTTGGAACACCTTGTAGACTCCATTGCCATTGTCATTTAAGAAGCTTTGAATTTATGCCATGAGTTGGCACCAATAATTTTGGGACACCCTGTAATGGGATGTTTTCATAATCTGCTGCCCATCATCAGAAAACTCTGCATACAATACTTTCACGATCAGAAAAGATGATAAAACTTTATTTGTACAAACATGCAACGGGATTGGCTTCATAAATAAGATCACGCATGTATATATTTGAAAAAAAAATAAAACAAACGCCTTTGTAATATTGAAAAAGAAAAAGTGTATAAGGCACTTCTAATAAATGTTATTGTGAATGTTCAAATGGAAATTCTATTCAGCATGCATAAGAATAATGATAGAAAAAAGCATTGAAGGCACAGCAAAGCACAACGAAAGAGTCCATATAGAGAGACGGAAGAAATAGTCTCATATATGTATATCCGATTAGAATGATGAGAGACGTTATGGCAACAACAAAAGCATCGTTAACAACTGAATATTCCGTGAAAAAGTCAATCACTAGGCAACGAAGAATGCGCTCAGAAGCGACAGAATGTACAATGGCGAGTATATCCAGTCAGTTACAGTCATGATCAACGGAGATGTGATGGTAAAACAGCAATTAAATCACCACTATAACCATTATATTAAAGAGATAATCTCATCCAGACCACAAAGAGTACTCCAAGAAATAGAAGAATCAATGAGCTCTCTCACACGCCTAAAAATGAGTCAGATCAGTCAGGTTCCCCGAGTCTAGTAAATTCACTGATTAAAACAAATGTGGTGGTAAATTTTTCGAAGCTAGAAGAACAACAGCTTTCCGAGCATTGCCCAGCTGTGGGCATGTCGTCGTAAGTTATGAAAAACTATGGGCGAGCGATTTCTTTAACACTGCGCCAGCACTCCAGATACTACATATGACTCGACCTGAAGCGTTGTCAATTTCAACATTTGTCAATCTAGAATCTCACTACATAGGCAACCTCGGGAACAACAATCATTGGCTAAGGTTAGGAATAGGTCAATAAACTAGTCGAAAGAAACTCTTCCGTTTCGGGCGGAGCGTCCTTAAAGCGGGCGGTACTTTCTATATGAATTCATAAACTGATCCCAACAAAAGATCATGAGGCTAAAAAAACTGTAGCAGTGAATAATGTTTAAAAAGGTCATACACGGAGGCACTCAGCGCAGCTCAGCCTCAGTAGGCCAAACATGCTCTTGAGTGGGAGGCGCTTTTCACAAAAGTTCATAGCTCGGTTCAAAAACGTTCTATGATCCAGAAGAAAAAGTATGAGGTTATCGAAGGAAAGGTGGCCAAATTTTAAACGTAGGCTGGGCCTGCACTAAGGTGGGCGGGGCTATGGACCAACTTGAAAGCGTCCTAAATGCGAAAAGATCAGTTAAAGGCTATAGAAGGAAAATGGTCAAATTGCTGTGGCAGGCGGGGCTTCTAATAGGGTGGATCAAATATATACAGCTTTGCTCGAAAACAATCGCGAGTCCGAGATTGGAACTATTGAGGTAATGTAGTTAAGCGCCCATGCATAACGGGGGAGGGGGAAGGGAACGGTTTGTGCGCGGAAGAGTGCAATCCGATTTCATTCCGCAAACATACGCAGGAAGTTGGATGAGCCAAGTATGAGTAGATTTTACCAAGTGGGCTAAATACACATCTCTGCAAGCAGAGATCCACTTCAACGCTGGTAGGAGGAAAGTCCGCCATCAGCCGCGAGATCCCACTGGTGTTGAAAACCTTTCAGTTTTGGATTCATCGATCTCGACCCATCTAAATCTAGGTAGGACACGGAAACAAAGTTTCCTGAAAATATTCAGAAACTATTGAAATCTTCCACCTACCGATCATTGTTTCGACTCCAAAGCCTCAAAATGCTTCTTTGCAGATCGAATATTCATGAGCGTAGCGGCAGGAGAAACATTCCCATCGGCCAGAACGACCATAATGAAGGTGTTCGGAGTAAAAGCGTCAATAAATGCGGCAAAATAACTATTCCGCACATGCATGTATTCAAACTGTGAGCCCATTTTACTGAAACATCCGGTCTGAATCGCAATCTTAAAAGCAGTCACATGAGACTCACCTGCAACTGAGTTTGAATTGTTTTATAATATTCGAAACCTTCTCGAAACGATGCATGTCACGATGTTCAGTCATTTCTGCGTGAGCAATGACGAGAAAAGTTGCCCTTTCAAACAGCATGACCTCAAATATCGAAACTTTTCCGCAAAAAAATTGAAATAAAATCCTCCACACGTGGGGAAAACAGAACAAAGCGGTAGCAAATGAGGTCAGCGGGGTAAAAACAGTTGAAGATCAAACCTCATCTGCATCCAGTATGGCAGCAAACTGTTTCAATTTTTGCTCCATTATACTTACGTTTGGTATAAGTTTGTAAACAATTGCAGACCAAGCCTGAAATACTCCTTAAATAAGATGTACGAATGTTAACTACTCGGTTGTTTGCTGAAGCATCTACATTGCTTAAGCAGCCATTCTTTAAAAATTGTATTCGAATTCAACCTGGAGAAGAGTAGTATGCATCATAAATGACCACCGACTCTCATCGACTTTCGGATAGCTTGCCAATCCTATCGCACCAGAAGCAAAAAGGCTGTGATTCGCCTAACTTACTGTTCAACCTTTTCTATCTAAACTGTGGAAATGGGGTAGAGCCAGTTCTGAGAAGTAGCAAGGTCTCGGTAGAGAACGTGAAAGATAACCATTGAGCCAAGACGTTTCAGTTTGACAGAAAAAAATGTTCAAGAACGAAAATAAGGTTAAGAAGGCAAAAGTTGACAACGTTCACACGCCTTTCTGGGTGAAGAAGACCGATAATCTACCTAGACGTTGGCGACAACGGTGGATGTTAAACATATGAATAACTCACTGGTTTTTAACATATTTTCGATTATAAGAAATTTTTGAACAATCTTGTACATCCCTAATCCACCTGCATAATCCCCTTTAACTATCAATTTTCGCAAGCGCATCGCTAAATTCTAAACGCTACACCTAAATTCACTGTGAATTTGTTTAGATGAAGAGTTGGTGAGCACAGTAATGAGAGTGGATCTCGGCTTACGATTTCAGTTTCTTGCTTTAAGGTGAGAAACAACGAGCATCATAGAATGTTACTGGGGTAAACAAGAATTCAAATCGTGCATTTACAAGAGATAACGTAACGGCAATTAGCTGCTCATCTCACAAAAGATTCGAATAAAAAAGAAAATCCTGATGAAAACACAATTTAGGTAAAACAGTGGGATTTAGGGGCATTAGAGAAAGGGATGCTGAAGCCGGCGTATACTCTTGAATGAACTTGAAAATCAAACTTTTCATGAGAAAAAAATTGTAAATTAGCGCGCATCACTCATTGATCTTCAATACTTCACAGAGAAAAGGAACACATTTTGTGGAGAGTGGAAAGACAGTGGCCGCTGCCATTGAATCTAATCGACATTTTGTCTGAATAACGGACAGGGCACTGTGCAGAGCAAAAGAGAATTTCANAACCTTACCCTCCTCAACGAAAACTTTGATGTTTCGGAAGTGTATCGAATTTAAGATCAAGAAAACATCGACTGACTTTGTATAGAGTCTCATCCCATATGCTACTACGAAAGCACTGACAGACAGCATTCGCGCGATCTGGACCAGCGGCCATTTCGGTAAACCGCAGCACTAAAGAAGCACGGTCCTCGAACGTCTGTAATCGAGATGAGTTAGCGATCAAATCTAAAGAAATGTAAAGATAGAAATAAATAAAATGATGTTAGTAACCTGGTCTCTGTGGTCCACTTCGATAAGATCCATTTTATGAATTAGACAAAAGACCTGAAGTGGTATATTAAAGCTCACGATCATTTCTTTTTATTGTGTAAGTTACATTTTTGCCTCAAGCACGAAACTAGATGCGCAGTATACGTACGCTTCAACACCAACACCACTCGAAGACACAAATGACAAAGACAAATGATAATACCACGCGAAACAAGTATGAATCACAGCAGGAAATTAGAAGTCTCTCTGATTCAAACCTGTGCATTAGGAGAATTATGAAGGAGCGCCTCAAGACAAGATTGATAATAGCCCAAATCCTTTTCAAACTCTCTGCTCTCGACGTCAAAAACATAAATTAGCACCTGAAAATGCTTTTCTTGACAAACAAGGGCACACACTAACCAGAAGGAAACAACACACCTGAACATTTTTGAAAATTTGATCTTTTTGCGAAGAAAGGTAATTGTTCATGAATGTCTCTTGACCACCACAATCCCATAAATGCAAAACCAGGTTTCCCAGGAATCTGAAAACGATGTCATTGTACCTTCTCCTGCTTCTGAGGGGAGGCGATGGAACAGTACTCCTAACTCAAGATTACCCTTACCATACAATTCGCTTTTCAGTGCGAAACTTCATGATGATGTAGGGAGAAAAAACGAAGAAGCGACGTTATTGCACACTTTAACATCGTTTCTTTTTTTATATTTTTATTCCATGTGAATATTGTTTATTGATATTGGAAAGAAATGTTCACAAGAAAATCGTAAAAGATCAAAGATGTTGAGCCTAGAGGCTAATCGAAAAGATTATGCACGAAAATGTGTTCTTCTGAAAGATGGGACAAAAACCTAACACTTTCTTCTGTGCAAGGTTGTAGGCGGTTACTTTGACTTCAAGGAGAATCATTTGTAAAACGAGAGCTTCTATCCAAAAATAACTTGAAAATTACCGAACGTGTGCGTGCTCGACTTCCATTGTTGGTCCAAGTCTGGACGTGTCGCGAGCAATGTAGTTCGCGAAAATAATGGACCGCATACTCGTTTTCCCGGAGCCACTTTTGCCCATTAAAAGCACCTTCCGCTTTGACGACATCTTCAGCGAAGCATAAACATGAAATTGTGCATTTAATTTTACTAGCCCAACCAGCGCTATAATAGAAGTGATCAAATGAATACTCCATGTAATATCCGCAACACTTCAAAAAAAAAAATAGTACATTTAGCAAAAAGAAGCCCATTCAGCAAAAAGAGCTGTAATAAATTCATTGTGGACCATAGTGGGCAAAAAGAAACTATACACAAAAAATCACCTATCATACCAGCACAACTTCAAATGAACGGATATTTTGAAACACAGCAAGCGGCTAGCGCCGCCGCAGGCCGACATACACGCTTGCACGACCCACCGGCAGACTCTGAGCAGCCAAAAACTGTTTCACGAGATTTACGTGACATTTTCCCACATGCATTTTTCGTCATCATTTTGTTTTTTTTTTT